TTAGTCCCATAAGCCTAATGTTAAAATTTGGAAATTTTAAGTTCGTTTTAAATTGCATTAGCATTATCTAATTGAAATTTGTTTGTTTATTAACCATCTCACTATTAGTCTAAGTAATCTTGTTAAGTTTGGCTGAAATGTGTTCTGCCGTTATTGAGTGATGTTGCTTTATTTGTTGCATTGAAGTTGATCCCAAAGAGCTACGCTCGCTTCGCTCGCTCCGCTCAATAAATAAAAACATAAACAGCGGACACAACTTTACAATCAATTGGTGCTTATCCTATGAAAACTAAGTAAATAAAATTGATTTCTGTTTAAAAGCAAATCTTGCATACTGGACGTAAAATTTGTATACATGCAACACTAAAACAGCATATATATGCGATGTTAAAATAGTATCAAATAATTGAAATCAGGTAAATTCAAGCTGAATAGGAACACAATCTCCTGTCAGTGTTTTTACCGACCTCACTCAGCAATGAGATTTGATTCGTGGAAAACAACTGATTTTATTCATAGTTAGAGTTGTTTGTTTTGAGATTGGAAAAGTATTTTGTTTGGAATTCAATGTTTTCAGTTTATTTCACAGTATTTATTCTAAGAGAAAGGTTTAATATTGTAATGCAAATATGTTTTCATCCAATATATCCCATACAAGAAATAGTGTTGTTAAATTGGTTTTTGTGAAATTTAGTTCATAGTCAGTAAAAACCTGTTGGAAAAACGTACACTGAATATTAAGCTTGGGACTTTCCTGTTAATGGCGTTAAGAGTTTAAATTAATTTACTTTTCTTAGTAATGGAGAAGCAAAACATAATTTTTAAGAAATTCTGAGTAAATATCGTGACTCTGGATTTGCATTACGTTTACCGGCCGACTATGATAACTATGGTATAGTATATATCTAGTATATGTTGTTGAATAGTTCTAGTTTCGTACTAAAAGTGAATAGCTTCAGCAACATATGTGCTTCCTGTAGCTGAATCATACGTTTGTGCTGAGTCTAGTTTTTTTATGACGTAATACAACTAGTATTAAAAATAGTTTAAGATTGTCAATTAGCTTGTATTGTTGATTAAAATGCTACAAAATGGTTACCAAATCTCATAAGATTTGACATGTTTTCATTCCATGGTATTAGCATTGAATTTATATATAAAGTCAATGGTCTTAGCCACCAGCCAAGTGTCGTAGTGTACAGATATAGCTTCTTTGTCTCTGTCTGCTCTTTAATTATCCCGGGCATACACTTGACTAACACACACACCCGATAACTTTTTTTAGTTAATTTAAACACTATATAATGATTATATATCGTCATCTCTTTATTTGGAAACTAATGGTAGCTCAGTTTTATGTTAAACTAACACCGAGTGTATAGTTTGTGGACGTACACCTGAATATTTTCGATAATAAAGGGCTATATTTGAAAGTTTTTCGCACAAAAATGTTTTCTTTTCAAGAAGGCTTACAAACGGCGGCTGTCTTCCTGGATGGATTCTCTCCTCGCCACACACGCCATCTTTGACGAATGCTTCCTAGTTTACTTCTGTGAGAAATCTGAAAAAGCAAAGAGTTGGAAAAATATTACTGGGATAGATTGTAATACATTTTTTTGGATAATGATAAGCATTGTTTATTTTATATAGAATGCCGAGATTACTTCAAAGTAAAATTTTTGGGTTTTATAATGCTTTTCCAAACTTAAGCTTATTTATATAAAACCCTTTTCCGACGTTCGAATTTGGTCTCATTCACTAAATAGTTAATGCTAAGTTTGAGCTATATAAAAAACGGTTGTCTTTGAAGATTTTGTAATGAGGGCCATTGACTATTAGTATATTAATAGTAAATTCCAGCACGGACATAATGAGCATATGTGTGTGGTCAAATCCTTCCAGTCCCCTAGAAAAAATATGTAACGTAGCCCACTTGGGAAATAAGAGTTAAAAGTGTGGGTCGATATATTTTCAATCCGATTGTCGACCAAGTAGTGACTAACCCTTCTCGTCAGTTTTGGGACCGCGTTATTAAAAGATGAGAACTCCAGAACGCCACAATTCGTCCGTCAGACCATTATAATCTTACACCTCATTTGCCCAATCTCATTCCAGCTTAGATGGAAATCTCCCTCGTTCTTGATTTAAGTCTGTCGCAGGACAAATGATTTCAGTTCTCAAGATTTATTTTCCATGTGACACTCGAACTATTTTACTAATGGTGCGTGAAAGTACACGGCACTTGTTTTGACGTTTATTTTCCTCTTGACTGAAAGAATTTAATTTAAGTAAAGATTATAGTCTTAATTAACTTATAACTTAGATTACGGGTAAAATTAAGGCAGCAACTGGAATTTAACACATCGATTACAGCGTTAAAACAATATTTATAGCTGTTGCAAATTAATGTTTTTTACCATCGACTCCAAACACAGTAAATCCTTTAGAAGGTATCAATGACAAGTGTTATAACATATACGGTACTTTCGATTAAGATTTACACTTTACCTTTGAAATTTTTTTTATTCATTAAGTGGCTTGAAAACCATAAAATATTACTTTTGAAATTTTATAGTCTATGTGGGTCTGTTTCAGTATCCCTTTGGAAGTTTTACACTTTTGTCAGCAAAAATCATAATCACGGGTTCAAATCGTTGCGGAGGTAAATCAGTAATGCATTTTGAATATGCAATCCCGTTACGAGTTGAAACGCAATAAGACGTCGCAAAAGCGAATTCGGTGTTAAACCAATGAAGAAAGCGGTGTAACCTAAGTTCGTTTCAGCCAAGCGGGTTTCTGGGTTGTTTAAGCGGTTTGCAAATGTATATTTTTCCAAAAAGCAAATTATCATTTCCATGTGATTATTTTGCTGGTTTTACACTTTTATTTCGAGAATCGTTTGTCTAGCAAAATTTTTTTGAATGTTCGAGCCCTTGGATCAAAGGTCACCGTTGGAAATGTTATATATATATATAAATATTTTGAACTTGTGGTCCGGAGATCACTCTAGCACGTAAGTTCATTCATGATATAAAAATAAAGGTCTGTTATTTCAGGATGTCAGACTCTGTATTGAAGACCTCGCTTACAGAAACACACATGAAATTATTTAGTTTGTATTTGAACCACAAATAGTATTCGCAAACGAAAATTATTTGAAGGATTCTGTATATAAAATTCGTTATTTGATATTATTTTAAGATTGTTCGTAACCTTCTGTAAAACCTTTTAGCTAATTAAGAATGTAACGAATTTTAACTGACTACTCTTATATATATGTTTGTTAAATAATATCATTGACTATACACAGAAAATAGACAATTTTTATTGTTTCGTGTAAACACATTGTATCAAATACACGTGTTATCAGAAGGTTTCCCACCTCACATCGGTGGAGGTACGTTCTTCTTTATTGCTCTTTGGAACCCCACCGTTCAAAGTCACATCAAAGAAACTTGTAACTCTGATCGTCAGTTGTACAAATTACATTCGAGCGATCTTTATGTTCCGAAATTGGTTTTCGAAAATAAACTTGTTTGTACTACGTGTTACTTTGTATTTTCGCTCGTGTTGAAAATAAATTAAACCTATTTCAAGTGTGTTGTTGGTTCATTTTTATAAGACGTAACCTTGAGATTACCAAGGGTCATTACGGTGGTATTGCTAGTCTGCCTCGGACTTCGATGAGGGAAGCATAGGTTCGATCGTTCGATCCCAAGCACATCCAATAAAATTTGATGGGATTACATAGCTTTCCCTAAAAAGACTTAGTTCTTCCTTCATGGTAAAGTCTAACTTTAGAGAATAAAATTACGACTTCTTAAGGAAATTACAATTGAAGTATTTTCAACTCTTTCAATGGCCAATATTGTACTTGGTTGGTCTTCAATCTATCACCATATCAATATGTAGTGATTAAATCCATCGTTGATTGGTCTTCTTCATAATCAAATACTGTATAGATTTTCCAATGCAAGTAATATGACAGTCCAGTTTTAGGGGTTTTTGATTGTACACAGTTTTTAAAACATTCAGTTGGTTATTTGGTTGTATGATATCTCGTCACAGGACAAAATAGGATTTTTCTCAGGTATGAAACCGTATACGAATCGGTGAAGTTTCAAGGATCGAGTAAATTATTGGCAGGCCAAATACAGAAGCCACTAATTGATGATCAACGTGTTAACCAATAGAGACGGTTACTCCAAGCTGAGTAAGAACAATCGTCTGCTTGTGCTGTAAGGTTAGTGTGTGGAGAAGGTATGATACAGAGTTTTGTTCAGCAAGGTTTTGTGTTGAAGTAGGTATGAGACAGAGATATATCATCTGTTCGTCAAGTTTTGTGTTGAAGTAGGTATGAGACAGAGTTGTGTCATCTGTTCGTCAAGTTTTGTGTTGAAGTAGGTATGAGACAGAGTTGTGTCATCTGTTCAGCACGGGTTTGTGTTGAAGTAGGTATGAGACAGAGATATATCATCTGTTCGTCAAGTTTTGTGTTGAAGTAGGTATGAGACAGAGTTGTGTCATCTGTTCAGCACGGGTTTGTGTTGAAGTAGGTATGAGACAGAGATATATCATCTGTTCGTCAAGTTTTGTGTTGAAGTAGGTATGAGACAGAGATATATCATCTGTTCGTCAAGTTTTGTGTTGAAGTAGGTATGAGACAGAGTTGTGTCATCTGTTCAGCACGGGTTTGTGTTGAAGTAGGTATAAGACAGAGTTTTACCATCTGTTAATTAAGGTTTTGTGTTGAAGTAGGTATGTATAATCGTTTAATCAAAGTTTTTTGTTGAAGTAGGTATAAGACAGAGTTCTATCTTCTGTTCAGCAAGGGTTTGTGTTGAAGTAGGTATGAGGCAGGTATATCTTCTGTTCAGCCAGTAGAGTTTTGTTTGATGTCGAGGATGGTTGCTAGCCAGTGGAGGTGTACTGACAGGTCCGCAGACAGGCCAGTGTGTGTAAGAGTGTAAGGTAAGTGATGAGATGTGTAATGTTGACAGCACGCAGCAGCCAGAGTCACTCTCACTACAGCCCCAACACCAGGGCCAGACGTCGCGGCAACAGACGCCTCACTCGCAACGAGAGTAGATACCACTCAGGTAACACACATTGACTATAAAAACTAGGTACTAGACACACCAACGCTTGAACACGGTAATGCCGCCGAATAAATGTGTCGTTCTTTTCAAAAAGCACAAGATTGAAGAAGAGACTTTTATTTTATTGTAAATTTTAGTACGAAAGTAACCATTGACCAAGATATCTCGTTTATATGTTTAAAATGTAACCAGTTGAATAAAAATGTACGTATTTTAACTAAGCAACCGACAGAGTGTTCTGCTGTCAATTACTGATTTGTGTCGTCGTATCTACTGACTTTTCAGTCAAGTAAAACTGAAAGTACAATGTAATTCGCTGTAAAATTTAGCGAATTTCAAGTCAAATGATCAATGATCAAAGACCACTATCAAAAACTAAAAATGGTACTTATGGAAAGTCTACTTCAATGTATAAATTCAATTTTTACTCTTTTGTTCTTAACCCTGAGGACGTGGAACAAATCTTTCTATTTGATCGTGAAGTAAAATATCTTTGATTAAAGAGAAAATATAAATTTGTTAAAGCGTTACCGGGGGAAAAAACCATAAAATTGTCCTCATTTGATAAGGATGAAAAATTGAGAAAAGAAAAGACACATCCAATACTATCATTTAATGCTATATCGTTAAAATAAATAAATAAGATAACCGGTATTGGACTAAAAATCTTCCAATTACTATCGGGTACGAAAATGTTTACTAGTATTTCATTTTCAAGTCGAATCAGGAAAATTAAGGAACAAGCCTCAAATAACAAATAACAATCAAAGAAAAACTTAAATTGTCAAAAGATCAGCAGTGCCAGCGTTGCGTGGGTGTTATGCTTTTGTAAAGGGTGCAAAAATATCCTACTTAGCTCCGAGTTTATTTTAACATTCTCAATAAAGATTAGTAATATTCTGCAGTTGTTAAGCTTCTTAGCTGGCTTCTGTGTGGGATATTTCATCTACGTACTTTTAATTGCATTGAGTTGAATTTGACCTCACATATTTAACCTAAACTTAAAAATTTATCTGTCACATTTTTGGTACGTACGATAATTTGCAAAATCTTTTTGGAATCTTCTGTTAGTTCTCGTATAAAATTCTAAGTATAAATATAGTTTCTCATTCAACAGGGATAACTTTCTTACTGTTTCATGTATAAGTTTGGTGATATCTTATACATTTAATAATGATCATTAGGCAAATGCCAGTCCGAATTAAAATACTTAATTACTTTACCTGTACTGCAATTTCGTTTAGTATTTTTTTTGTTTTTTGATTTTACAATAACCTCCATGGTTTTTTTATTACTAAATGACTGTATATTACAGGCAATTTCGATTCAGTTGAAATATATAGAAAGAATTAAACTATCTGTTTTAACAATGTAATTTCCCACTCAACGGAAAAGTGCTGTTACGCGATATCCGCTGTTTTACTCTCTCTCCACTTAACAAATTAACCAGCTGATGTTACGAATCAGCTGTTTTTGCGTTTCTTTGTTGCATTGGATTAAACCGCTTAAGATTTTGAACAGTTTTGTTGATGCACTTATTTATTTATCTTCAACGTACCAACTATGTTTATGTGATATTTAAATGTGCTGGGCTATATACGTAGGTTTTGATAAGCATTATTGCTAATCAGCCTATGTAAACTAGCTATTTGCTTGTTTACTAAGCTATGTTATCCAGTTACATAGTAAAATACTGCTCTATAAAAATTCCACTTTATAAAATTCCATGTCGCTCCCTTCGTAAGCTGAACGTGCTTAAACGAAGGCTACGTGATACTTGAGTTCGTGTTTTCCTGTTGATTCTCCTGGAATACTTTGAAAATATTCCTTATAAAATATTTACACGAAAGATTTTTTGACGACACTCTTTGTTCAGTAATTGATTTACTTAAAAATAAACAACGTGGTGATTTTAAACGTTTTGTAATAGCTATTTATATTAGATTACAAGAGTTTATCATTTTCAAATCATATGTAAACGCATTTGTGATTGTTGTTACGCCTGATATTGTGGTAGCACTACACAATTTTAGAGTAGGGTTTAGAAAGTTTGAACCTCTGTCGAGAAATGTAATTAAAAGCGGTTTACTGTAGGGGTAGAAATAGCACGAAGGCTTTCCCAGCCAATATCATGGCTAAACTCTACTTCGCCTTACATTTCCTTTCAATGTCTGTGGGTACATAGGTATGGATAGAATATTGACAGCTATATTGATTGTGTAGCATCTAGTTAATTCGTATACACTTTTCATTTTATATTATAGTTTGAACGTATTTCGAACCTCAACAAATTTTAAATAAGAGAGAACTCTAAAATGACTGGGAGAGTTAGTTTATTCAAAGGCCCAAAATTACTTTAAAAAGGAGTTATTCTTCATATTATTTTGTTATTGTTTATTTCAACTGCAACACGTTGTCATTCTTAGTACTACTATAATTTAGAGCGTTGAAAAACTAACTTTATCTTAATAAAGTAATAAATTATTATTCTGGATACTGAAATAGAAACCGGCTCAATAGCACTAATTATTTATACAAATATAGCATGCTTGAATGGGCCACTCACAGACAGCGCTGCTCCCACCTCCTTTTAGTACTTTGTTTTTTGGTAGCGTGACGGCAGTTGCCCAGTTGCACCGATGGTCAGGAATGGTCCTAATCTCGAATGCCCAGTTGCACCGATGGTCATTTTAGGGTGATGTCCAGTTGCATCGGTGGTCATAAACCCCTGACGTCCTCCCCTCCCATTGAAATTTTGTGAAACGTAGTTAGTACGGTAAACGATTAGGTTATGTTAGTTTAGGTTAGGTCAGGTCAGGTCAGGTCAGGTCAGGTCAGGTCAGGTCAGGTCAGGTCAGGTTAGGTTAGGTTAGGTTTCCAAAAAATACAATTCAGTAAATATATTTCAAGACAAAGAGATAGACGTTTTATGGCAAAATTATATGATAGAGTGTGTTGATATCAGTTACGTGTTTGTAATGTTTGTTTGTTACTCTTTACCCCGTAGCAAAGAAATGGTTAGCTGCTAGTTCCCTATGTATGGTAAATATATAGCGCAGACTATATTATACGATGGAACAGGAACGTAAAAGAGGGGATAGGTATATTAAAGCGTTCGAAGAGGGGAAGGAGCATCCAAGCTTGACAGATTTTTGACCACCGGTGCAACTGATCACTTTTGGGAGGGAGGATTTTGTCGACCCTTGCAAATTCCTTTGACCATCGGTGCAACTGGGCATCAGCCAGTGTGACAGGTACGTTGATCTCACTCGCTCGTCCGTGTAGTGATGCATAGCGACCTTTCCCTGCATCGCCCGATACTCGTTGAGAGGACGATGTCTCGAGGCGGAGGAAGTAACAACTCAGTGGTTAGTGTCCGAGCCTAGCGATCAGCTGATTTATCAGACCATTCTCCTGGGAAGACGCACGCCTCCAGCTGATTTTACTTTCTCTGTGTTGTTCTTCGTGGACCGCCACTGGCGCCGTGATTAGGGACTAAGCTGCTGTAGGTTTACGTTGAAGTTTGATAAGATATTTGCTTGTCGTTTTCGCGTAGTGTTTGATACATTGTATTTGTTTTGACAATCAGTACAAGATAATTTTAGAATTCGAGGTCATACATTGTGGGATATCATTCTCTCAAAAAACTTAGACGTATTTAATCTAGATTAAAAAATCTAAACATGTAATCAAAACAAAACATTTCTAATAAATCGTCTTGTATTTGATCACTTAATAATGTTAGTAAATAACATAAGAAATCCCATGTTCGTTTGCAATAACGAGAAAACCACCCCAATAAATTGGACCCTCACGAAAACCTGTCAGGCCATCTATTCTCTACACAGGAAATAATTTATGTACGGCAACCCTTACAGAGTCATGCATAACATCATGTTACACACATTTCGGAGATGATATGCTACCTACCTCAATATATTATTCGATCGTATACAACAAGCATCTCATTTTTCACTACATTTTTCTATTTGTTGAACAATAAATTATGTATAAAGTACGGTAAGTTAAAAATTAAAATCCTAAACTTGAAGATGTCGAATTATCGTTTAATTGAGTGCAATAGAATATACATTAAATTGCTTCATTGGCGAATAGTTTTCTCCCGTCTTAGTTTTGGTTTCATTATGTACCATGCATTTAATTTATTAACATCCCAAGATATTTGAAGTTTCAATGCAATATTGCAAGCGCTCAATTTATTCATTTACTACGAAATTTGAGCTAAACAAAATTTGATAATTGATCCTTTATATGTACGTTTTAAACAAACACACGTTATTTCGATCTGTTCAAACAACTTTGACGCCTTTCCTAAAAACTCAAAACCTCCTCGTTAAAAGTGAAGGGAGTTCTAGGAACGGCTGTAAATTAATTAAACTAAACCGCTGACAGTTTGGGCCGTTTCCGGATCCTTGAGTAGACAACATTCTTAGAGACGGAGGTTGTAACTCTGAAACCCCTCGGATAACAAGTTTGTGAACGTTGAAATTAATTTTGGGTGGTGAATATTTCTCGAAAAATACAGGAAGGAGGAATTAATCGACTGTTAATATTGGCTACTCTATACACTTATAGTATTCCTCATATAAAATTTATGCTCATAAACAAATGCTATGTGTGGATTAAAACTGTTATTGATTGTTGGATACATTAATTTCACGAATTTTATAAAAGAAGCTCATTAGAGTGCATTAAAGAGTTTCTTTGGTTAGCCAAATGAACAGTCACAAAACCACTTGCCGCTCATTATTTACTTACCGCGAGTCTATGTACTTACCGTCTTCCTCTACTGCGTTAATTTGAATAGCAGTGATTAGTTTGCCCGGTTTCATAATATGTACATATTAAAGAATCGTTTTCAATTTCTAAAATGCTTAACACATTAAAACGTGTTTGAACGAGACATGTAATAACTTTTGATCATTAAATAATTATTTAGTAAAAAAATATTTTTTATTTTTAGGTATATGCTAAGATAA